GCCTCTGTGGGAAGGTTTTCTTTTTTTATAATGATAGGTGACTAGTTTCAATTGTTCTGTTTTTCCAGAACTGCTAATTCACTAAGAAATCAAGATACTGCATTCTTGTAGCAGTCATATATATGTTATAAATTGTAAGATCAGTGTGTGGCATTCAGAGATTTGAGTTCTTGTCCAAGCAGATTCTCTTCTCTCTTGCAACCCGTTATGCCCCCGCCAAAAGCTGCTTCTGATAATTTCTGCAAAATTATCTAAAATCATCTGTAATATAGCAGAAAGGTCTGTGCCTGACAGAGGACAGCAGCAAACAATTGCACACAAAGCTGAGCTTAATTTTAATACATGAAAGAATGCTGTGACTTGAGTGGCTTCTTGCACCATCACTGTGCACATAACACCTGTTCTAAATCTGAGATTTCCTAGTCTGCTAAGAAGATAAGCAGAATTTAAGTGGGCCATGCATGTACATGTACATCATGTCTTCTTTTTGGGTCTCAAGAGTCTTACACCAGGTTTTGCCAATGGTGGATTCTTTATTATTTTGTAATCCAAAAAGGCAACGTTCCTAAACCTTACTAAGCACAAACAAATATGCCCATGATCAATCAATACATTTAGGTTGGAAGAATATAAACTGATCTGCAAGGAATACACAATTTTTGTTTTAAACGTGAAAACTTGAGCACCCTACAGATCTTTCCCTTGTTTCCACTTTTTCATTGAAGAAAGAACATATTTGCTCCTTGTCATTCTTGACTGAACTGTAAAGATACAAGAATTGGTTGAACCAACTTGGACGGCACTCAAAGACAAAAAAATTTTGAAAATGCAAACAAACTGGGAAGGTGGTTGGCATATAAATTACGAAAAGAAAGGGGAAAATGTATAATCCAGAATTTGAAATATGAGGAAGGAGTGATAAGATACAGACAAGAAGAAATAAAGAAGATTGTAGAGAAATTATATTATGATCTATACCAGGGAAAAGAGATTTCCAAATAGAAACTGAGACAATATCTGGGGAAATATAATAATGTAAAGGTGAACAGAAACAGATGTTGAATGAACCATTTTCATTTAATGAAATAGTATAAGCCTTTAGGAAGCAAAAGAATGGAAAATCCCCAGAAGGAGATGGAATCCCACAGAGTATTGTAAAACTTTTGAGGATATATTGCAGTACTTAAACCATATAAGAAACTAATAGAAATGATAGATCAAGAAGGAACAATATCGCCAACATGGACAGAAGCATTAATTACTATTATTCATAAAGAAGAAACCGACCCTATGGAAATTAAAAATTATAGACCAATATCGCTCTTACATTTGGATTATAAAATATATGCCACAATATTGACAACTAGACTGAAAAAGGTCCTTTCACTAGTAATCCAGGAGGATCAATCTGGTTTCCTTTCAAAAAGGCAAATGAGAAATAATCTTAGAAGGATTTTAAGCATATTGGAATACTATGCAGTGCATCTGGAAAAATCAATGCTTATGATTTTTCTGGATGTGGAAAAGGCATTTGATAACCTGAATTGGAATTTTATGACACAGCAATTAGAAGTGATGGAAATGGGGAAAAGATTTATTAGGTCAATAAAGACTATATATACTAAACAAAAAGCTAAAATCAAAATTAATGGAGACTTTACAAAAGATATTCAAATACAGAAAGGTATAAGACAGGGCTGACCATTATCCCCATTAATATTTATACTTTCATTGGAAGTCCTTTATGAGCAAATTAGGGCTAACAAAAACAAGAGGGCTAAAAAGAAGAGAAGAATGATATTTCATTTAATGCTTCTGTTAGAACATCCATCTCCACCACTTCCAGTATCTTTTCTATCAGTTCCTCCAGAAACTGTACCTCTTCTTTCTTTCTTCCAATATTTTCCATATAGTATCATTTATCTCTAAGAGTAGTTTATCAAACATCACTTGTTCTTCATAGAAACCCATTATTTTGTCTTTTGCATACTTCTAGTCTTGTTGTAATCTTGTCCACCAATCTAAAGAGATTTTTTGCTACTCTAACTACTCTCTAGTCTTTAACGTCCCTTCTTTCTCACGCGAATCTCTGTATCTTACCAGTTTTGTTGAGTCCATTAAATTAGGTTGTGTAAATGCTTCTAATTGTGACACCTGGAATTTTATTATATATTTGTTTTTGGATCTTATTTCAAGTCCACAACAAAGACTTTCTTATATGGTTATTGAAGACTTTATATTCTAGCTTTTTGATACCACATAAAGGCATGATATCCTAGGTTAAGGTCATGCCCCTCCAATTTAAGTAGTCTCTCGTCCAGAGTAATCCATTCTTTAATCCATACCAATACACAAGCCCTATAATAAATTTCCCAGTCCAGAAGACCAAAACCCACCCTTTAGAGTCTTGTAATGCCTTCATTTTGATCCTCATGTTTTTTTGCCTGCCAAACAAATTTCGTTCTTTTTCTACTGAATTCCTGTGAAAGTGTTTGCTTTAACAACTGGTATCTAAAAAGAAAGATCACTTTAAGTAACACATTCATTTTAATTACTGCTATTCTTCCCATCAATTAAAATTGTAGCTTATCCCATTTTTCCAAGTCTCTCTGTATCTCCTTAAAAAGTTTTATATAATTATCTTTTATCAGTGTACTTGTTTTGTTTGTTATTTGAATTCCCAAATATTTGATTCTTTTTTCCTCTTGGAAACCCATTGTGTTTGTCAGTTTCTGTTCAGATATTCTTGCCTAAAAGTTTTGCTTTCTGTCGATTCACTTTCATTCCCACCATTTCCCCAACGTTTATTAATGTTTCCAGCCATTCATCAATAGATTTACCAGGTTCTTTCAAAATAAAAACCAAACCATCCGCAAATGCCTGTAATTTATATTTTTAAAGGTCTTAAAAAATGGAAATGCTTTTATAACTAGATACAAAATATGGACTGGAGAGTACTGTATAGATAAAAGAAGTATGAGAAGGTCCAAAGGAATGGAGAGAGTTCTAAAGATAGATAGTTGGGTGAAATTGTTAGAGTGTTTATCTGTGTGATTTCCCTTTTTAACATAACTAAGTACAGTGGTACCTCAATTTACGAATGCCTCGGTTAATGTAATTTTCAGTTTATGAATGCCTCGGTTTATGCATTTCTTTTCAATACAAAGCAAGTTTCCCCTGTTTACCATGTTTTAAAAGTTGATGTGTGATGTTTTAAAAGTTGAAGTTCGATGTTTGAAATGTAATTGCTTGCTTAATTATGTTCCTGTACAGTATTTATGCCTTTAAACTGCACTTTATAAAGAGTTTTGAACAGTTAAAAGACTTTTTTGGACTTTTTTCTGACCTCCGGAATGGATTAATTGGTTTTCAATGTGTTCCTATGGGAAACCACATTTCGGTTTATGAATTTTTCGCAATACGAAACGTCCCAGAGAACACATTAAATTCGTAAACTGAGGTATCACTGTAAATGGATGTAAGAATACCCTTTTGCTCTTTGAAATTTTACCCTTCCCCCACTTTTATTCCTTCCTTATTCCCTTGTACCCTTGTACCCAACCCTTACTCTGATTGAAAATGAATAAAAGCCTTTTTAAAAAGAACTTGGATGGCACTCCACACACAAACATTTTTATGCTGCCTTTGCAGGTGATCCAGTATCACACCTACATATTTTACAGATTATGTGCATGGTAAATCCTCATGTCTCATAGTTGTAGTTAAGGATGAGGAAGTGCAGAGCTATTATTCTTGCCATGTGGGAAACTTACTCTTTTTTTATCAGTCAGCCACTTCTCACCCAAACACAAAGCAATTATCAGGGATTTTTTCAACAAGTGCGAATGATAGTAAGAACAAGAGGGGATCCTGTAGACCTTCTTGACTGCCACCATTGGTGTGGTCAACATTCAGGCTGTCCTTTGCTATGTGAAGCTTGACATCGTTTTTCTTGCTGGCAATGTGGGCACAATATTTTGCTACAATATTCGGCCATTTTCTAGCTTGTTTAATAATGGGTACAGAAGGAAAATATCCCACATTCATAAACTGGAGTTCTTTTTTGAAGAATTGAATATATTCTTACACATGCTTCTTCTAGTGTATCAACCTGAACATTCTCAAATATTGAGTTATTTTATATGACAAAAATCTGGCTACAGAAAACTTTCTTGCCTGCCTCCTTCCTTCCTTCCTTCCTTCCTCGCTGGAGTGAGGCTGAGGGTGTGCGTGGGTTCCTTCCTTCCTTCCTTCCTTCCTTCTCAATGAAGAAATCTTTGTCAGCCTTAATCCTGATCTCACATTTGGAAAATCTGTATAAGTCACATCAGCGGGAAGCTATAACTTAAAAAATGTGATTAACCAGTTGTAAAGAAGTCTAAAAATTCCAACAGTGTTATACTATTTAGGTCAGATATTAAGTTATCAGAGCTGACAAATCATTTATACTATCTTGTGCAATCCACTTTATTATTGGTCTGATCAACATTACACAGCTGGGACATTCCTTTACTATATACCTGAGCAAAATTATTTTCCCAGCTATATTGTAATCAGATTGTTTACTTTCAGAGGTCTGTACCTTTCTTTTGTTTCATGCCAAATTAAGTCTGATTCTTTTTACAGGTGAGTGGGAAGAATTAACCACTCCATTCATTTCTAAAATTGTTCATATTTACTTTTGCTATTCTTGTTTTGGCAGAATGAAATTAGCTGTGGTGTGGGTTTAAGTAGAGTCCAAGTTGCTCTGTTTACTTATCAGAATGCTTTTCAAATACTGTACTAGAAATTTAAAATCTTGCTATATTGATAAAAACATATAGAAATTGATATATTTTAAGAAATAAGTACTGATGTTCTGTTTTAGAAAACATTTCAATATATTTCAGTGTTTGTACACAATAAATAGTAGGATGGTGTGTTTTTAGAAACCAGTGCTTTGGCATAGACTTGATATAGCATTTATAGGCAATAGTGATTATTTTTACTTTTATTTTCAGGCTATGATTGTAAGCTTTATGGAGGTCTACCAGCTTGTGAGCTCCAGGGTTGCAACACTAGAAAGAGAAATAACTTCCCATAAGCAACATATCTCAGCTCTGAAATCAGAACTCCAAACAGCCTGCCTTCGTGAAAGTGAAACCTTGTGCTCTGTAAGTGTCTGTTTTTCTCCCACATTCATTTTAAATTTTTTTCTTGGGGTTGATCCCTGCCAACATAACTGTGATTGCAAACATTCCATTTGCTTACATATCTTTTAGGAATAATATATTTATTACGTAGGTGAGTTAGATGCAATATATTCTGTTATGGGTGACTTTGTGATGAGCTTCAAGCAAATGAAAATGATCACTGTGCCCATAAATATTTCTGTAGCAGACGTGGGGCAGGAGGTAACTCTGAATTAGTTGATCATTTTCTGTCTTGTATATGAAAATATGTGTAGGATTGCCAAAACATAAACATAGAACTATCTCCCTTTTGACAGAGAGGACACCTTTTAGACAGTGGAACTGAACAGGCATGTTATTTTTTATAAAATAATACTGTTAGCTAGGTGTTTTAATCACACTGGCAGTTAGAATTTTTTTTTCTATACACCACTTTTTTGTGGCAGTGTGTTCCCTTTTAGTGAGATGGGGATTGTTTACATATTTATTTTGTACTAAAAGGTTAAATCCAGTTTTAACACTCTTTGAAATAATTATTCCCTATAAATAAAATTGGGCACATTTAAAGCTAATAAAGCAATTTTGTGCAGTTTTGCTAAGGGATTTTTTTTGTACTACGAACAGCTGTATGTGGATAGACATACATTGTCATGTGGCTGAATAGGTCTGATCTGAAATAAAAAATGTGTAGATAATTGCACATCCTTTTGTTTTCTCATAGCAGCGTCACTTGAGTGAATCCACTTATGAAAATGCAGGATTGGGAACAGTCTGGCAGACTGTATGTGTATATATCTGATTTTTGTATGGTTTTCAAACAAGTATTGAAAATCCATTTATGTATAGCACATCGGAGACCACAGTATTTTATCAGAAAGATAAAGCAGCATTGTCCTTAAAGCAGCCATATTTACACCATCATGCAGAGACTGGGGCATCCATTTAAACCGCTGAATTTTCATGCTCAAGATTTGTAGTAGTATGAACAGAGGTGAAAAATTGTTTGTCTGTCTGTCTGTTTAATTTTTATACTGCCCATCTGACTGAAGGCCACTCTGGGTGTTTATAACATAGTAACCTTTTTCTTTTTAAAGTTTCTGAGGTCGACCAGGTTTTTAAAAAGTACATTTGCTTTTTATCTTTATAAGCTTACTATTAAGTAGATTTCTTCTCACTGACTTCTGTGTTTGTTATTACTTTTTGTCCCTTTTTTATTGGCTTGATTAAAGAATGACAATTCAAAGAGTGACAATAAAATATAATCAACTTTTTAAGTTAGTGTGCGTTGCTCTCAGTATCTTAAGATAGATTGCTTGAAAAACATTGTCTTAGTTTTGTTAACTTTAGCTACATGATTCAATGGATAACTAGGCTCCAATGCAAGCTCAAGATCAGTGGCTGCATTTGGTCATAATTTGACATGTGAGTCTCTCACCTTGTTCTTGCATTTTTTTTTCTCCTTGCTAGATGAGATTATGAGAGTTTTGTGCATTTCTGGAGTTTTTGGGGGGGGAGGGGACTATGTAGTGGGGTTGCACATAAACCTTACTTTTCTTTTCTGCTAATGAAAAGAGCATTGATCTTTTCAGTGATGCACAAGCAAAAAATTGCCCTGCAGCTAACCACTAATGATAACTTGATTTTAAAAAGCATCATTTTCTACTGAGGGTGAGAACATTTATGAATATTTCTTGTATCCTTAGTCTTAACTTTGTTCAAAGTTATAAACAATGTGAATACAAACATAAATGAAGCCAGAGTTCTAAGTGCTAACTATTCAAAGCTCTGTTCCCAGGTGAGTGTCTCTGTCAAGGCAGCTGTAAATTTACCATATCTTTAGAAGACGCTCTCCCTCATGTAGTGAAAAATGCCCCTTCTTTATAGAATGAGATTTTCTTCACCTACATATCTTGCATGTAGCATGCTTTTTTCAGCTTTATGATATGATTGTTAGTAGATAAAATAGATATGGTTGTTAAAAGATAACCACAAGCTTAATTTGAAGATCTAATTGCTGGGGCATACCTTCTGGAGAAATCCTATTGTAAGAAGGAAAATGGGGTAACAGTAGGAAATATGCAATCCCTCTTAACATCTGGTTTGGGACTCATTTTTTCATGTGTTTTACTTATCTTTTAAAACTTAAAAACGGTGTGTCAAATTTATGAAAAAAATTGCTAATTTAGAAATGTTTTGTGCAACCCTCGCCCAAAAATTAAAAACTCCAGTCCTATTTTATTTTATTTTGTCATATTCATAGGCTTCCTTTCTCCTGATCAGTGGACCCAAGGTGACTCACACTATTAAAAAGAATAGAATTAAAAACATAATAAATTATACATTAAAAACAATTAAACTGTAAAACTGATTAAAACACATTAAATGATTAAAAACATGTAGAATATTAAAAACTATGGTTGTTGTGGGTTTTCCGGGCTGTGTGTCCCAATCAACTGTGCCTGTGTTGGCAATGGGACTGAAGGGAGAGCCTCCTCTGGTTATGTCCTTATGATTACCCTGAAAAATATTGAAATCATAACTCCCAATTTCCTTATAAGTCTTGTATAAATCAGATTATTTGGCTTTAGCATCACTAATATTCACTGATACTGTTTTTGATTTATCGCTTTCAAATATGCTGGTACTGTATTGGTATTCACAGATTATTGGTGCAGATAAGTAGTGTTATACCTATCCAGTGTGTGGGCTTTCATGATTCACTGACTCACGGGATGCTGACACTTTACAGCATTTTCACATGATCCTTTGCATTTGTTGCAAAGTTATAAGCTTGAGGCACCCCAATTATAAGAATCGGGAATCCAGTAGCATCAAAAAATGCAGACTTTTCTTTCTTTCTTTCTTTCTTTCTTTCTTTCTTTCTTTCTTTCTTTCTTTCTTTCTTTCTTTCTTTCTTTCTTTCTTTCTTTCTTTGTTACACTTATATAGCAGACTGATTAGTGCTGGCACTACTCTAGGCCATTTACATCCAAAGTAACATAAGCATAAAATAAATCACATATAGTTTTTTAAATAGACCACACATATACAGAAACACAACAGCAATCAACTAATAAATCACAAAAGAACCAAAACAATGACAAACAGAAGTAATCAAAGTGATCAGTCTAAGACATTAAGAGAGGCTGCTTTCAAAGACTTTGGTAAATAGCCTTGTTTTGAGCATCCTCTTAAAGGCTCAGAGGAGGCCTGATGCAACTCTACCAGGAGCACATTTCAGAAGGATGGGGTCACTACTGAGAAGGCCTCGTTTCTAGTAGATGACTTCCTGACCTTCCTCAGTGTGGCAGCCCCGAGGAGCATGATTCACGCATGTGCACGCACTCCAGCGTGCCCGTGCAAGTGCTGTGCCGCCATTTGCCCATGCACATGAGTGCTTCCGCACCCGCACAAGCACTGCACTGCCATTTGTGCATGCACACAAGTGTTCTCTCGTTTGTGTGTGAGAGAGCGTGCACTTGTTCACTCATGTGCATGAGTGCAGAGGTGCCCCACCTTCCCCACTTTCCCACAGGGTGAAAAAGGTTGGGGACCCCTGCCCAAGAGTGATAGCTCTGAGTGACAAACTTGCTTCAACCCCCTCTGAGCCTTTTATCCTTCCAGGTTTCGTATGTACCATGAGGAATGAAAAATGTTAAAGCAATGTTTCTCTGGCTTACAGACCAATAATTGACTTCCTCTCCATCAGTTCCTTAGGCATGCAGGGCCTGGAGTTACTGTCCCTGGAGAACTCAGTGTTGAGATCCCAACCGACAGGCTAGCTTCCAGTTCCAAGTATAATGCAGAGGTCTGTTACTCAGGCCTCTGGTTTTGCTGTGCTGCATCTGGCTAGCCCTTCTTCCATGGCCAAGTGGTTGCTTGTAGCTGGGATTATGACTGACACTATGCTTCCATGCATTGCACTCCCATTTGTTTTCATAGCAAAGACATCTTTCTTGCTTTGGAGTGTTTAGATAAGTCTCACTTGCTTTTACACAACTAAGGCTTCACCTGTGACTATGAAGAAAAGGACCCCCTGAACTCGTGCTTCATGGCTAAAGCAGCATGCTGCCATTGTTCATACTCAAGTGGGCATGTGTTGCATATAGAGATGGGCACATAGAGATGCCAATTTGGTGGTTTGTGTCCGTTCTTTTGTGTTTTTTTTTTTTAACAAACAAGTGTATGGCACTTCACAGCCCCACCATCTCTGGCAGGTACCTACTCAAAGGGTTTTCTGGTTGTACATATTTGCAAATACCCAAGAAGGAAGAGAGCTGCATATTGGTGAGGTTTTTGAATGGTACAGAGAATGGCCACCTGGCTGCAGAGTTGTGCAAATGTATTGCATGTTGAAAGGAATTCCCAGTAATTACCCAGTTCTTTAGAATGTAGATTGATTGAGAAATAAGAAGTGAGAAGAAATAGAAAGAATTAGGAGAAGGACAGAAAGAAAGAACCTGAGACGGTGGGGGTCACTTGGATACAGAGGAGGTGGAAGCTTGCTTAAGGTCAAGATGACAGTTTCAGATAAAATGGAGTGGTGGGAAAGAATAATGAACCTCAGGAGAGGATGGCTACAAGTGAGATAACAGCTGGAGAAAGAGTTGGGCTGTCATCCTACCACTACAAATACCAAGAGTTGTTGCTTTTGGATGCATATGTAAACTGATGTTGTAATCCAAGCAATATTTTTGTCATTAATGCTTTTATGTGGGTTTTGTGTGTGATATTTTATTTGTTTTAATGCTGTGTCATTGTGATGAAATACCACATGCAGAGGCAGTGAGTGGAATAGAGATGATATGATTCAGTGAACTTCCAGCCAGACAGTATAGAATAGTCTGAGAATTGTCAAACCATTCTAAAGCATAAATCTTGGGAATTTTCCAGATAATTTGAGACATAGTAAATATATTAGTTATTCAGTTGTTAAAGGGACTCTGACACATTTCTTGCAGACAGTTCTTTGGTGAAAGAAC